GCTATATGACGAAAGCTATATGACATTTGCAAACTATGTGAGGGTTGTAAGCTCCGACAACATGGCACGCACGAAAAACAATTTTTGAACTCTCAAGAACTATCCCAAATGATTTTTGTCATATTTCTTACTTGCGTTATCGAATGACTGAAGTCAGAACTGTCTCCACTTCAGCATTAATGTTCTCGTAAGCCTATTAGCTTCAATAAATGAAAATAAAAATTAACAGAGTTTGAGAGTCAAGGAGAAAATGGGGGTTCAAGGCAGTTTAGAATTGCCCTATTGCTTAGCTCCTTTTCGTGAGAAAGTAAAGATCCCATCAGATAGTCTTCTTACCTGTGCTCATATATCCAGTATGAATTGTCGGAGTTGTCAAAGTTTTCCAGGAGAAGAAGAAATATTCAACAAGGCTAATGTTTTGACTCAATACATACCGAAATTTTTGCAACATTTTCATCATTCCAGATGCGAAGACGGTTGGGAAAGAGACGATTGCTCGTGTAGCACCGACGATAGCACATGTATGGAGAACGGAGTAAGTTGCATTGAAGTGTAATTTACAGATTGTAGTTATTTAGATGATGGCTCTAGTTTTCCACTGTCGAGCTTTGATTGCTCTGACGTTTTGATTGAGTATGCTTTATTATTTTATCGGAGTGAGTCCTTCCTCGTAACGCAATGAGATGTTGCATGCGAGAGCGTCTTTCTGAGTAAGGTCTCTAGACGCATTTGATCCCAATAATACTGAAAAATTCTAATAAGAGATTGCTTGTAGATCAGTGAAATTGTGTTCGAAGTCTTTTTCAAATCACTGCATGTATTGCATTTTTTCAACCTAAATGACAATGATCAATAGGACTGGCAGATCCTATCAAAGTCCTCATTTTTCTACAAAAGGCACTCATTTCAACCGCACTGCTGGGCTATCAAAGCTAATGCATAATTATGCTCTCTCTAAGTAGTTTAAAGAGTGTTAGCATTAGCACAAACCGCAGGAACTAAAAGTTCGAAAACTACAATAATTTTAACAATAATCGCTTTCGGAAGAGAAATTTCAGATGAAAGCGAATGCAAGCGCAATGGTGGTGAGGGATACTAATACTGCTGATGACGTCATTGATTCCTCCGCTGTTTCCGCCTCTGATGGGTAGTCACTCTCTGTGCTTTCGACTGCATTGTTGTCCTCTTGTGACACTGGATCCTCTGCCTGAAAAACAAATTATCACCTTCTCCGATTCACTGTACCACTCACCATATTCTGAACGTCTTCCTCCACTGTTGTGGGTTCCGCCGCTCCAACAGGATCCTTGGGCTCTTCTTCTGGCATCTCCTCCTCTTCGGGCGGACTCATCGTCACTATCTGGACAAAAACTTTGTTTTAGGCATTTAAAATCGAGAGGCTACGACGCCTAAGCTAATCACTATCTATCACTACACTATTTCTATACTAGTGAATTATCTAGCGGATCCTACTTCATCAGCAGCACCACATCGCGCACCATTGAAACCTTCATCGCAGACGCACCGTCCGCACTCGCAATGCCCATGGTTAGAGCATTCGACCTACATAAAATGTCTTGAATCTCAACGTTGAGAGGCAACTCTGCGCACTTGATCCCACACGGTATCTTCAATGGCTTTATCAGGGAAAGAACAGGTGGCACACCACTTACAAGCCTTCAAAGCTAAGCCAGGACTGAATAGATATCATCATAATTGAATTAATATGCTACGGACTGATTTTGAAATAGGCAGCAGTGTGAGAGCGCAATGACGGATATGAATTAAAGACAGTCTCCAGGTAAATCTGAGCGCATAGGTTTTCCACCCGAAAATTGATGAGGGGGTCCTAACTATGGCACTGCCCAAGAGGCAGCGCAAATTCGTCATTCACGGCTGAGAAATCAGTCTCCGAAAACCCCGCACCTGCGCCGTGACCGTATCCCGAAAACGACTTCGCTCACTTTAACACTACGTTTAAGCTGGGACTCATCCCAAGTGTTACGGTCACGGTGAAGCCGCGGAGTGTTTGAGGATGGATTTCTCAGCCGTGAATTAATGAATTGTGCTGCCGTTTGGGCAGTACTCTAACTAGGACCTCTTCGACAATTTCTGGGCAAAAAATCCATATGAGATTTGCCTGGACACTGCCTTTAAGCTGCACGAGTGTACCTATGCAAAAAGAACGCTAAAGGAGGGGGTAAACACTTTGAAAAAGATATAGGCAAGAATCCTGCGACAACAAAAGTGAAGCTTTTTTTTGCTGTGCTCCATGATCTTTTCCTTTCCTCACCCGAACTTCTAATCAATTTTGTCTTTGCCTTGTGGCCACAAGTAGCACAAACTGCTTCAGTCGTGTTTTTTGCTTTACTATAGCTTGAGAAGTTTCGAATCTGCCACTAGTCCACTGCAGTCGCTAATTCTGTTGTTGTTCGTATCACCTCCCTGAGCCAAGCACGTAGAATTGAGCAAGCGAGAATTACAGAAGAAACTCGAAATGGATTCGTAAGTCTCCAAAGATTCATAGATTCCCAGTTAATTATTTCTGTTTTGCTCTTAACTATGAATGAAGTCAAAATTTTTCATAGTGAGGGTTACCATAAAGAAACTTGATTTCTGCAAGGCTAATCCGCTTGTTGGCGCAATAACTACAGGATGGCCGAAAGGTATGGGAGCTACTTTGCGGGAATTGCCCCACTCATTTAAAATCAAGGTGGAGGTCCAAATTTGAGTTAGAGAGCTTTGAAAATGCCTGTTCTCAGCCTTTTCGCGTTAGATGAATTCTTGGACTCAGCGTACCGGATAAGCCCAGATGAGCGAGAAGGTTAGCTCTGACACCGCCCTCAAGTCAATGTTGATTCCAGACTCACATTAGCATTAGATTAGTTTCTCCGATTTTTATACATCTCCATATGGGAGACGTCAGGCATGAGGCAGCAAAGTACGCCTTCGCTTCTGGAAGTGCCTGAGGAGCTCCAGACTTCCTCGTGCTTCTACTCACTCTTCGCACCTTTGACTTTACAAGCAAGGGAATCAAATGAGAATCTTCCTAAGGGGCAAGTACTTTGGAAACCTGACAATTTCTTTCAGTTTCAGCTGAAGCAGTGAGCGAAGTGTTAGAGGCGCGAAGTCTGAAGCTCTTCTGGTACTTCCATAAGCAAAGCGGCAAACCATTGTTGCCTCCTGCCCGGCCGCCCCATATGGAGGCAATATGTGAGCAAGTGTAGTAGTCATGTTATAAGAATGTTTGCGAAAGGAGATATGTAAAATGTTGTAACGCCCATGCTTTTTGCCTTTCGTGTAGAAAAATGAGGACTTTGATAGGATCTGCCAGTCCTATTGATCATTGTCATTTAGGTTGAAAAAATGCAATACATGCAGTGATTTGAAAAAGACTTCGAACACAATTTCACTGATCTACAAGCAATCTCTTATTAGAATTTTTCAGTATTATTGGGATCAAATGCGTCTAGAGACCTTACTCAGAAAGACGCTCTCGCATGCAACATCTCATTGCGTTACGAGGAAGGACTCACTCCGATAAAATAATAAAGCATACTCAATCAAAACGTCAGAGCAATCAAAGCTCGACAGTGGAAAACTAGAGCCATCATCTAAATAACTACAATCTGTAAATTACACTTCAATGCAACTTACTCCGTTCTCCATACATGTGCTATCGTCGGTGCTACACGAGCAATCGTCTCTTTCCCAACCGTCTTCGCATCTGGAATGATGAAAATGTTGCAAAAATTTCGGTATGTATTGAGTCAAAACATTAGCCTTGTTGAATATTTCTTCTTCTCCTGGAAAACTTTGACAACTCCGACAATTCATACTGGATATATGAGCACAGGTAAGAAGACTATCTGATGGGATCTTTACTTTCTCACGAAAAGGAGCTAAGCAATAGGGCAATTCTAAACTGCCTTGAACCCCCATTTTCTCCTTGACTCTCAAACTCTGTTAATTTTTATTTTCATTTATTGAAGCTAATAGGCTTACGAGAACATTAATGCTGAAGTGGAGACAGTTCTGACTTCAGTCATTCGATAACGCAAGTAAGAAATATGACAAAAATCATTTGGGATAGTTCTTGAGAGTTCAAAAATTGTTTTTCGTGCGTGCCATGTTGTCGGAGCTTACAACCCTCACATAGTTTGCAAATGTCATATAGCTTTCGTCATATAGCTTTTCTCACTTTGTACTACCTCCTCTGGTACCTCCAGTCAGATTCTCTGAAGTCTTTTTGTTTCGGGTTGTTCTGGCCGTTGCACTACACTGGCGGTAATACTAGTATTCGGGGGCGTTGTGTTTGTCTTCTTCCGCCACTCCGGTCTGTCATGGCGGGTTCGTGGGGAGGAGCGGGGGTTTCGGTGAGCGGCGGTACTGGCGGCCCCCTGCCAGTACACCCGTTTTGGCTATCTGGCGGGGGCGGCCAGTATAGCCGATCGCCGGGCCTCCGCTCTGTCCCCACGACTTGGGATGCTTGATCGGGCTGACGGGCGAAGAGGGAATGAGCTGGTCAACGTTTCTTTTATTATCTCTTTCCTCCAGAGAGTGCAAAGTAGGTTAGACAAAGATCTGGATGACTTATTCATTTCAATACGATTGTTCCTTTGTTGGTTTTTTTTCTTTCTTTTCATGTTTTATTTTGATTTGTCGTTTCACACCCTGTTCTGATCTGATGTGTTGTATTGAAGCGCGCCGCCTGGCGTACAAAATAAATAAAATAAATAAATAAATGTGATCTCTCAAACAGTTATGAGATTTTTTCCTCTGTGCATAACAAAACTCATGCTCCAAACTAGCATTTAGGCTGCGTCTATTGCAGCTCGTTGCCGTAGACGTACCTTGTACCACCGGCTTATATTGACTGCCTAAGGCAATAGAGACGGTATCTGTATGAAGGAACGATTTAGCCCAAAAAGCTCAGGAGCGAAAAGGCTTGTACGGATGTAGAATTGGGGTGTAATAATTTGAGGTCATATTAGTTTTACCTGCATTTTCCGCACTCGCAAACTCCATTGCCGCTGCACTGTCGTCCATTAGCATCAGTTGGACAGGACGCATGATCGCATTGGCAGAATCGTCCAGTGATCTGCAATCAAAGTCTATTTTTCCTTCAAAGTTCAATAACATATGGTGTCATTGTACAGCAGGTTCATTCAATGAACATCTGACTTTATCTGCGAGAACTGTGTTCGTAGGTTTTCAGGCTGTGGTCCTTTTTTTAATGAGAGAGAACTTTGCCGCAGCCCTTAACGCAGCGTATCATTAAAAGGCGTGTCCAGCAGTGAGATATCACCAATACGAATACTTGATTGAAATCGTAAGAATATTTAGGTATATATAGGCGATTCGTAGCTCGCAAAGACTGCTGACGTATCGCCGTCTCCCTGATCCAGCGCTCTTTCGTTTCTCTTACCATATGTTGTCTTTCCGATCCGCGAACTATCTTGGTCGGACGCAACAGCGTCCACTCTTTGCGTGTCACGAATCACCTATAAGATACCATCCGTAATTTGTAAGCAAAACCGCCGGCGGCCACCTAACTTTAGGGGTGAAGTTAGGCGGCGGCCGCCTTACTTCGCCAAAGTTCGTCGAAATTCTCGCATCCCCTTATCTCAATTCGGAGTTTATGAATTTTAAATTCAAGAGTATCCTTAAAATGATCGCAAAGACTGCCATGCCTGCGGCTTCCCTGGCGCGCTCCTGCGAGAGCACGACTGTACCATTGCGGTTGTACTGGGATAAATATTTCACGCCAGTTTGTGCTGCCAATGAATAAACGATACCATCCGACTTGACTTGGCTTGGTGCATCTTCCAATATGTAGATGCCATAGTCTGTAGGGTTACGGTGGGTATATGGGACACTTTGCATGGATACAGTAGGGGTATGATGAAAATTCGCTTTGCATGTAAGTGTTTGAAACCTACTCAGGGTGGCTAGTTGACGCCTGTCAATAACTACGCGCAAGTCATTTGTAACTTAATATGACATTGCACATTGCGCGAGCTACTTCACGACATTAAGATCAAAAGTCATCAAATCTCTTGGACTATTCTCTTCTTTCTACTTTTTTTGGTTTGATTGGATAAGGTAGTGATACATATCTCCACAGTTTCCGCGAGAAGGTTGTACTGGCGAGTTAATAGTAAGGTGTCGTTACTCGCCGCGCGCAGTGTGCAGGCTACAGTTGTGACAGTGGAATGTGAAAAATTTCGGCGAATTCGCCGAATTCGCCGAATTCGCCAATTTCGCCGATGTCGCCGAATTCGCCGATGTCGCCGAATTCGCCGATGTCGCCGATGTCGCCGACTTTGCGTCTTTTCGTCATAACTCCCTTCGTTCTCAATGGATTTCAAATTTGAAGGCAGATTTGGATTCAGCTCGCCGAGACGAATCTTTTCATATATTGAACTGCTGTAATCGGCTCTCGGTCACGGTAAGTGCATGGTAGGAATCCGTTGCATCCTGTGGTGGTGTTTTCTAGAGCGTGTATTTCGGCGCATAATGTAGGCAAAAGTTTAAGAAAAAGAGCGTTTGATGGAAGAGTTTCTGCTGAGTGATTTCAGCAGAAAATCATATCCTTTTTTGTAGTGGAAAAAAGAGAAAGGAGTACGTGAACTTAGTAATTACTAGCTGGCTTACCCGGCTCCGCCGTATGCTCCGTATAGAAAATTCCATTTCTGAACCGATCCGGACCAAACTTGGCACACATACACTTCGGGCCCCGGTGGGTGTCACAGTCCACTTCTCGTTATCGATCGATGTCGATTTTATCGATTTTTTGCAAAATTTGAGCTAGGGCGCTGGAATTTGGCAGAGGGGTGTAATCGCGCATGCTGATCACCCCCACGGGGGTGATCAGCATGCTCGATTACCCCCCTGTGCCAACTCCCAGCCTTGTAGCTCCAATTTTCCAAAAAATCGATAAAATCGATATCGATCGATGACGAAAAGTAGTCTATGACACCCGCCGGGGCCCAAAGTGTATGTGTGCCAAGTTTGGTCCCGATCGGTAAATGGAATTTTCTATTCGGAACATACGTACATACATACAGACAGACATACAGACATACAAACAGACATTCAGCTTTATATATAAGACTAGCGACCCTACGGGTCGCTAGCAAGCGGGTAGGGCACACCCATAAATAAACATCTTTCATACCTATAATTTTCTCAAGTGAAATTTCAACTTATCAGTACATTTCAGAGGTATTTTCAATGGGAGGAAAGTGGATCATATCGTGCTAAAATTTTGTCTTGCCCCACTCATCGCTGTACAGCTTCCTTTCGCAATGTCACTCTCGCACTCACGCTTACAATCTGGAGAGAAAAATCGACTTCACCCAGAGCAAAAGCTCCCAAAAGCGAGATTTTCGAAGATTTTCTCAGAATTTGGCGGAAAAGTGGAAGCATAGTGAATACTGAGGTCGAATGTGAGCGGATCAAATGGTATGCTTTTATAACTAACTGTGCAACAATGTCCAGCTCGCAATTTCAACATCCTTGGCACGCGCTTGCGTCTTTCAACACATCCATTGCAGCAGCAGAGCGTACCCTGCGTGTCGTGGACTCTCGTTCGCGCTAGGGCCTCTGCGTCCTCTTGACCTCATGATCGCACCGTCGCGTCTCTACACATTAAGGCCCCGTTCGGAAACTGGCGTCTATTCAAAACAGCCGCTGAAGCATACTGGGAGGACCATCCTCGCCGTCTCGTTTTTTGGGATCGGGTTTATATTATAGGAGAGGATATATGAACCACTTACCGTCAAACAAATATAATTATACAGTAACACTATGACTAGCAAAACAATTATAATCTTTGTAATCAGCATGTCTTGTTGCTTATGTGAGCAAAGTGACACACCGCATGACTATGATATTCTGCCTTCAGCAAAACTTCACTTTTTTCTGCAGACGCCTCTTTGCAACGCTATGGGCCAGCCCCTTTCACACTTAAAAGATTCGGGTAAGGCGGATCGGAAAGAGTTGTTTCCGTAGATAATCCAGCGGTAAAAAGTGGACGGAGACATGCTTTATAAAGCGCGAAAAGAGATGGTGAATTCTGCAAAAATCACGCGTCTTTAAATTCTACTCGCCATAACTTCCTTCGGAATAGGTATATACTGAATCCGAAAACGGTGCTGTGCTCAGCTCATCAAGGCGAATCTTTTGGTATACAGCATGTCCTTGATATCTCGATTTCAGTATTCTTAAATCTTTCTGCGGACGTTTCTTCTCGTAAGTGTAAAGCAGCGAGCATTGTCCCGAGTAGACTCCAGCAGGGACCTTTTGATAGTACTTTTTCTGTAGATTATGATGCGCTAAACGGTAGCCGCAATTTTCTTTTCAAAGGAAAAAGATGGGCTGGTGAATTGTGGAAAAATCTTGTCGTCCCAAATTCTACTCGCCATAGCCATAGAATATGATGCTCTCTTGCTAAGCAGATGTGATTATCGTAATCAGCAGGTCGGATAACCACTATGAGCAAGTTTTCCGAGATTTTCGGGTCATTTCATTTTTTCTTGTTTTACGCTCTGTAAGCTCGCCGATGGATTTTGGTCAAAATGTTGATGCTCCTGGATTGTAAGGAAACTTCGCTTATAGAGGTTTTCGAACACGCTCTTTACGAAAATCGTGGTCTTTGAGGATTACAGGATCTTTTTGGAGAGATACGGTGAGGTGACTGTAACTGCACCACGAAAGTGCGTAACTTTGCCCGCACTTCTCGCGTATCTCTCAGAAATCTTGCTTGCTTGCTTTCCTAAGTCAAAGTAACTAGGAACTGGGCTATCGAATGGTGCATGAATCGGGCTCCAGTCTATAAAAGTCGCCGAGTTACAAGCCTTCGAAAACACGTCCTCATGAAATTTGCACAAAATGTAAAGATCGCGTACTTTATTGAAATTCCATCGTGAGCGGTTGCATGACTAATTGCAAATGTTATGTTCACCCCGCCCCGTTTTATACAACCGCTCACGATGGAATTTTAATAAAGTACGCGATGTTTACATTTTGTGCAAATTTCATGAGGACGTGTTTTCGAAGGCTTGTAACTCGGCGACTTTTATAGACTGGAGCCCGATTCATGCACCATTCGATAGCCCAGTTCCTATTTACTTTGACTTAGGAAAGCAAGCAAGCAAGGTTTCTGAGAGATACGCGAGAAGTGCGGGCAAAGTTACGCACTTTCGTGGTGCAGTTACAGTCACCTCACCGTATCTCTCCAAAAAGATCCTGTAATCCTCAAAGACCACGATTTTCGTAAAGAGCGTGTTCGAAAACCTCTATAAGCGAAGTTTCCTTACAATCCAGGAGCATCAACATTTTGACCAAAATCCATCGGCGAGCTTCCAGAGCGTAAAACGAGAAAAAAAGAAATGACCCGAAAATCTCGGAAAACTTGCTCATAGTGGTTATCCGACCTGCTGATTACGATAATCACATCTGCTTAGCAAGAGAGCATCATATTCTATGGCTATGGCGAGTAGAATTTGGGACGACAAGATTTTTCCACAATTCACCAGCCCATCTTTTTCCTTTGAAAAGAAAATTGCGGCTACCGTTTAGCGCATCATAATCTACAGAAAAAGTACTATCAAAAGGTCCCTGCTGGAGTCTACTCGGGACAATGCTCGCTGCTTTACACTTACGAGAAGAAACGTCCGCAGAAAGATTTAAGAATACTGAAATCGAGATATCAAGGACATGCTGTATACCAAAAGATTCGCCTTGATGAGCTGAGCACAGCACCGTTTTCGGATTCAGTATATACCTATTCCGAAGGAAGTTATGGCGAGTAGAATTTAAAGACGCGTGATTTTTGCAGAATTCACCATCTCTTTTCGCGCTTTATAAAGCATGTCTCCGTCCACTTTTTACCGCTGGATTATCTACGGAAACAACTCTTTCCGATCCGCCTTACCCGAATCTTTTAAGTGTGAAAGGGGCTGGCCCATAGCGTTGCAAAGAGGCGTCTGCAGAAAAAAGTGAAGTTTTGCTGAAGGCAGAATATCATAGTCATGCGGTGTGTCACTTTGCTCACATAAGCAACAAGACATGCTGATTACAAAGATTATAATTGTTTTGCTAGTCATAGTGTTACTGTATAGTTATGTTTGTTTGACGGTAAGTGGTTCATATATATTTACTAAGTTCACGTACTCCTTTCTCTTTTTTCCACTACAAAAAAGGATATGGTTTTCTGCTGGAATCACTCAGCAGAAACTCTTCCATCAAACGCTCTTTTTCTTAAACTTTTGCCTGCATTATGCGCTGAAATACACGCTCTAGAAAACACCACCACAGGATGCAACGGATTCCTACCATGCACTTACCGTGACCGAGCCGATTACAGCACTTCAATATATGAAAAGATTCGTCTCGGCGAGCTGAATCCAAGTCTGCCTTCAAATTTGAAATCCATTGAGAACGAAGGGAGTTATGACGAAAAGACGCAAAGTCGGCGACATCGGCGACATCGGCGAATTCGGCGACATCGGCGAATTCGGCGACATCGGCGAAATTGGCGAATTCGGCGAATTCGGCGAATTCGCCGAAATTTTTCACATTCCACTGTCACAACTGTAATACAAGTTACAAATGAATTGCACAAGTTGGGCCACCCCGAGAGAAAAGTCGGTCGGCCCAACAAATCTCAGAACACGTTTTGGTAGCCACCCTGAGCAAGTTTCTGAACAATTTTCACTGTACTGCTAGTATCTATAAAAAGTGTCAGCAAGAGGAAATCAATGTAAATGTTACCAGCATATAGAATTACCCATTTAACACGTTTCGGACCGTTGCTGCACATGGTGCAGCACGCTGCTTTGAGGGATCTTTCTGGCGTTTGCAGGAGGTTTCCTTTTAGAAACTTGTTAAGTCAAAGGTCTAAGCTCCTAATTTCCAAATGACTCTGTAGAGTTGTGCGACCGATATTTGTTTAGGAGATATGAGCACAAATCGAGCAACAATTGCAACGAAGTGCGGCGACGCGAACGACGCGTGCGACGTCGCAACTCTCCTTTGCTTCGATATCAAAGAGAAAAACCGTAGTTTCACTACTGATGTGTACCGTGTACAACATAGATACTCTTGAATACTATTAGAAACGGGTTTCTTGTTTCTATCTTTCAGGAAAGCACAAAAGTCCTTCACAAGCGATAAAATTCAAACATTTCGAATCCACTTAGAACTTCGGGTATGGAACTTATCTGACAAGCTGATTACAGAGATAGCACACAGTCTACGAAATAAGGTCCCTTTGTAGGCTAGCGGCTGAAAGTACACTCTTTTTCGCCGCGCGCGATTTCGCCGTCCGAAACGTGTTAAACAAAAGTCTGAAAGATTCATGAAAACTAACTATTTACCGTATACGTACTTGTCCTTGAACTATAGCACTTCTATATGTTGGAGGATGCGCCTCGCAAGCTGAGATGAATGGTATCAGGAATTATTAGGTTGGTACATAAGTAATGCAACTTTTTATATAACTTTTGTCATTTTGAACGTAACGCATTTATTTTCTGGTAATATAAGGATTATGATGTAAACTGCAACTGCAGACATTTTTGCCGAGTTGTGCCATTTTATGTAAGGGTACGATAGGTTTACGGCATAGAGGGAAAAATTTTGAGATTGCATCAGATTTTTCAGATTCCTTCTGATATGTTTGATTCAGGTTTTGTACGGCTTCATGTTTGCCAAAAAATCATGAACTCGATTTCCAAGGGGTTTCGAAAAATGCTTGAATTTTTTCTTCTACGTTATTATCAGTCAAACGTTTTTCGCAGACTTGCAGCTTGCGTCACCTCTACATGATGCCAGAGAATGGGGAGTGCTATATTGAGTAAGGAAAAAGTAAGGAAAAAGTTACGGGAAAAGTTGCAAAACTCAATGTGCCAACCTAATGAAATCCCATGAACCTTGATAAGTCGATGCGCGAATTTCGACAAACTCTGGCGAATTTAGGCAGCAGGCGCCCAATTTGAGCGGTCGCCGCCTAACTTCGCCGTCTAAGTTCGGCGGCCGGCGGTTTTTTTTTTACAAATTAGCGTTGTTGTTGTTGCTGTTGCTGTTGTTGTTGTTGTTGTTGTATGTTGCATTGTTAAATTGTTGCAATCGTTCGCTCAACAAGGAATTTGCCATCTGCACTCAGCTCACAAGAATGTTACCGTTTGCGCATTGCACTGACACTGTCCACAGCGACACATTCCATGGCCAGAGCAGATGGGGGATCCGGGTTTTCTGAAATGCTTTGTTAGGTCGTAACATAAGTTTCGAGACACTTTTTTCATTTTCTTCTGGAAAACTTTAGAAACTTTGGCAAAGCCTAATATTTGGCACATATGAGCAGTAAATAAGGGAGTACCTAGTCGCATCATTTCCACCTTTTCAGGTATGGGTTACAGTAGATATAAAGGAAATTTTGTGAAGGCACTCAAACCTCTATTTTTTCTTTTGCCTTTTTAAATTCTCTCATTCTTACTTTTTATGCTCTTGCATTCTTATTGGATTCCTAGGGACACTAATACTAATATGAGGAAAGTTTGGAAGTTTAGGCTGTTCAATAACGCAAACTGGAAACGCTACAACTGTATATTCAGGATCTCACTCTCTGCAGCGATCCTCCAACTCGATCGCATTCTTGACTCCGTAGCTTGCCAGTGGGCATTCGCATTTGTCTCCTCCCCTTGTTGCTTCACACTCGCACTGCCCACAGATGAGGTTTCCATGCTGATGGCAGAGTGGAGAATTCTTTTCCTAAACCCTTCTTTCAAACTTGTGTCGAGGTTTAGGCTAACCCACCTGCTGAGCTGGTTTTTCACACTCGCATCCACAGAGAGGAGTAATGTAGAGCGCGGAAACTGTTCTGTAACCGTAGACACCCACGGAGATGGCGACGTCACCACCATCGCGACATTCGAGGAGAGTAACCTACAGCAGTTATGATAGCATAATTCAATAAATGTAGAGCGGACACGATTCAAAAGAAGAATATTTTTGACTGATTAAGCACCCCCCCCCCCGAATTTTTCTCTTTCTAGGGACACATTTTTCAACCAATCAAGTCCCTACCTTTTGATATCTCTAAATATTTTGGTCATTTGAATCTTTAATCTCAATTACTATTCCACTACTCGCCACGGCATGTTTCAGCATTCGAAAGGTATTTGGAACCTCAGCAGTAAGTATGCGCCTGCCTCACTCTACAGAATCGGTCGCTGTAAACTTATGCATAGGGCAGCGTATCGTTACGTTTGGGCAGGTGCCAGACTTATCCGGTTCAACAGGTTCATTCGATTCACCCATTCGCTGTTGGTCAAAGCACTGCATTGACCAATAGGGAATGGGTTGGACCGGATGAACCGGCTGAACCGGATAAGTCTGGCACCTAGCTTGGGCCAATTAGAAAAGGTCGCGCGCGACAGGCTGCCGGTAATCCCACGCGAAGAACTCGGCTAGCCTTATTATTACTAGTAGCACAGAGTTTTACATCCTTCGTTGAGGTTTTCGAAGTATTCGCAAATTATTAGGTTGTCCCAAAAGTAAACCGTATTTCTAAATAGTCAAACTGCTTTCGCTTTCTTAGCATCATTATATCAGACTCATAGTAGTACCCAAAAATGTATTTGGTGGATTTTTTCCGGGGTTCAAAACTGAGAAATTAAAGTGGCTCGAAATTGAAAAAATGTCACTTTTTCGGGTTTCTTATGTTGTACTTTATTATTTCTCTATAACCAAAGCATGAACAAAGTAAAATTTTAAGGTTATACTGACTAAGGCTTGTAGTTTTCTCGCTTTACGCTGAAGTCTGGTAAAAGCATATTTGAGTACTACTGTGCGTCTGCGGTATAATGACAAAATTCGAGGTCCGTAGAATTTTTCTTCGCAAAAATCTAATTTTCAGGTAATATTTTTTCGATTTTTGCTCCAAATTTTATCTGGACTATGAAATAGGCACATCTTTGGTAGTCATTTTGTAGAGCTTGCTTCGCTCTATCGAATGATACCCTAAGTCGGCTAGGAAATCAGAAAAGTTTTGATTCATTCAGAAATACGGTTTACTTTTGGTACAAGCTAATAATTTGATTACTTATTCGAATTTCGCAACAAAACCTGTAAAATTAGCCTTTTAGAGGACAAAAAGGAATACACTGAAGAAGAAAAAGGGCTAACAATATAGAACAAGCATTAATAATCTAGGTGGATATGGACATAAATATGGACAAGTTTCCTGCACTACTGCTCCCCGCGCGCGGTTACTCTAACGCCGCATTGCGATGATTTTCAAATGCCACCCACACGTAACGAGACCCCCCCCCCCTTCTGCATAGTCCAAAAGACGCAATAAATTATTGATGTACGAAACAAAACACTACAGAAAAAGAGGGATAGTTTGGCCTTGCAGAGAATTGGTTTTTTGAAGTATGTATGTTCTCTTTCGAAAAATATGCTGCCTTGAATTCAGAACACATCCGATTTTGCGAAAAAAAGAGATTCTGAAAAGTGTGGCGCAGGATTGCTCAGGAATTATTGCCCAGTTTTCGAAATGGAAAACTTAAAAAACAGAAGTACATGTAAGAAACTCACTTTGATCTTGAAGTTTACTTTCTGTCCTTCCTTCAGCATTGGACATCTCTTTCCTTCCACTTCTCTTCTAAAAGTTGTTGAATTAGGTAAATAGAATGTGCACATGTTTACATGCATGTTATATGATGTGTTTTGCTTGAATAAAGTCACAAAAAGGGTAACAACTTACTTAATTATTTCGAGTGATAGCAAAGCAAACAATAAAAACTATTGATTTGGTGGGTTAAACAAACCCGTCGCAGTTGACGAAGAACTTCATGTCGACACCAAATTTCTTGAATTCGCTTGTTTGAACCATGAACTCTCTCACGTCGTATCCAGGTGCGGGTTGCTTGTGTACGTACTTATATTGCACATCCAATGTGTCGCCTAAACAACCATGGCTGCGATTTCAAATAAGGGTCAGTAACTTGAGGGAACGGCAACCTACTAATTGAAAAAAGTTTACGCAGGGATTTAAGATGCTTCTTGACTACTTTTGTTAGCGAGCGTTTGATCGCAGATTATACAGGGTTTCCCAAAAGCATGTATCGCATTGTGATTAATTCTTTTGCCAGGCTGCCAGGAGCTACGTATGAGCTTTATCCTGTATACTTAGCTCCAGTATAAATCTACAATACAGAACAAGTCACTAGTCGGTTAATCGGTCTTTTACTGCTGTAGCCCTACGATAGGAAGTTCCGGCGTACTACATTATTGCGTATAACCTTCTGTTTTAAAAGGATGTCAAAGAAAGCAAAAAATTTGTGTAGCATGGTTTTATTCTCTTTTTTGCTAATTCCGTTACTCAACTTTACGAGCCTGCACACTTTCCAAATGTTGTAATCAATTAAGAAACATCGAGACAACACCATCACGGTAAACCACTCAGGGACTCGCGCCGTGCGGGCGGCCAGCGATGACCCTACAATCGCTAGTCGGTGTGTGCGATTGTACGGTCGTCAAGGGCCGTTGGCACGGTTAACGTGGGGCGCCCGCACGGTTCCTAACGCTCGCCGCTTGCGCGGGGAAGGTCGACCGCTCTTTTGCTGTTGGAGTAGATCTATATGGGATATCCTGACCATTTTTCTTGGATATGTTAGTCCTTTTTACATTCTGAGGACATCGAACGATACCTGCAGCAGTGGCCAAACTTTCCATGGTGGAGCCCACACCATCGCTCTTGATAACTGTGGCTTCACACAGGTTCATTCCAGCCTTGCTGGGGAAGGAAAATGTTGATAAAAAAATATGTCAACTCTTAGCCAGCCTAAACGCTGCGTCGTATCTCACGCAGGTACCGTTTGAGCTCACAATGTGTGAAAATAGTGAGCAGAAGATAGAGGTCACTGTCGGCCGCTTGCACGGCAGCAGGTATTGCCGACCGATAAGACGGACGCATTGCTGGCCGCTCGCTCGAGCACTTGTATTGCAGGCCGTTTGCACGGTATAGGCCGTCCGCGCTGCGCACGGAGAGCAACGCTGTTGCGTAGATTGAAGGCAGTTCACGACTGGAAGAAGCGCAGAGAAAAACAGGCGGCGAGAGTGCACGAGAAAGAGGAGTGACGCGCAATACACACCTTGCGCACTCTCCGCGCCCTGCGCGGACGGCCTATAACATTGCCTGCCGCTAGGACGGCGCTTCAGCTGTTTGCCGCACGCACGGAAGCTTTAGGCTTATGTCGACCTCTTGTACGCTAGCCCTTATAGGAGGACCGCTCGCGTGGCGCGAATCCCTGAGCTAACTTCCGCCAACAGACCGTAATAAGTCTAGAAAAAGGGAGAGAAATGATTCGAATGTTCATTTTTTGTCGAATTTCCTATGTTTATATCAGCCATGAAGTTGTCTGTTGACTGAAGGGGGGGGGGGGGGAGAGGGCTACATGTATACTGCGTATTGACACTAACGCCTCAGGATGCCACTGGGACCACTCATTGTTGTTCTTGACGCGTACCCCTCTGGTATGACACCCAAAAGGGGCACTGGCCATCGATTTCAGTAAAGTAAAGGCTCCCAGTCATTGACCTTTATAGATATCTCATAACTGATTATATATCCATATTTGGGCCCGATTTTATCAAACTTTACGCATGGTTTTTGAACGTACCAAGAAATGTGAGGTAGAGGTTGATCATAAAATGGTTGAGGCCGCGAGCGTAGCGAACGCAGTTTCTGAAACCGCATTCTCTCGTGCACTACTACCAGAACCATTTTCTTGCATGCACTGATAGCTTTTGGATACCGCAAGTGTTCGAGTTGAGCACTAAACTGATGTCTTCGTTTGCGTGTTTTACTCCCCTGTGAACTTTGAGTGGGCGTAAGAACAGCAACTGAGTTAGGCCAATATGCACCAACCTCCTTGCGAAGAAAGGAGCGGCGTCCCTCATCATGAAGTGGCGGCGCGTGCACGCCGCTGGGCAAGGGAATGTCCAGGTCGACTGGGGGGGGGGGGGGGGGGAGGAGGAGGGGGTCTTGACACACTGCGAGAGCAAGGCTCATGACTAACGCAACAGTTCCAGTCCGATTGAAAAAGGTGGATCCTCAGGCGAGAAAATCGCTTCGGAAAAAGGGGACGGTACTCCAATCCCGCCTCCCTAACAAGTTTTGATGTGGTAAATGCGCTAGACCTCCTGTATTGGCCAGCCCCCAGTTGACCTGGACAATGCCTTTAATCATCGTTTGGGACGCTGCGTCCCTCGCCGCAGGGATGTTATGCATACGGGCCTTAGTAGTCACGATCTCATGAGGAGCTACCTGGTCCCGAACGCTATGATATGGTACACGACGCAACAGTTGACCTAGGTAGGGCTCTCAATATGGGTGCCACGGTCGGCGCTGCTCAGATCCTCGCGCGGCGCCTCGTTTGAACCACTCGGCGACTTCGGGTGCCGTGTGTGCCCTTCTGAATCGCTCCGTCCTAGCGCTAATTAGTCTGCCCGGGCAACGCTAATTACGTCGCCTTTCTTGTAATATAGCAGAGTTTTCAAATACTTCTGAGCATAAGCAAGTGAGGCACACAACAATGGATAGTGAGGATGTTTGAATTATGAAGACAAAAAGTTGGAAAGGTTGCATGTTTCTAAGGCCATTTCGTGATTTCTTCGCCCCTCCCAGTTTTCAAAACACCATGAAGTCTGCACGTGTAAGCTGATTTACCTAAGCCGCCCAAATATAACATTTTCGAGTTTCATGGAAATCGAAATCTTGTTTGATTCTTTTATCATGAGAATGCCTTTGCAGTCCAATTCAGACGTCTCTAACGACAGCATAGCTCTCGCTCACCCAAGCGGCGGCAGTACCGACCAATCAGAGGCGCGCAGTAATTAGGCTGCTAATGTTAGCGGTTCAGAAGGGCCGTCTCCCGACGACTTCGCGGCTGTGTCTCGGGGCATACCAAGCGGGGCGGATCGCGAGGATCCGAGCCGCGCCGACTGTGACACTCAGATTGAAAGCTCCTATAGCATCTCCTTGCAAGATGGAAGACCGGCTACAACTAGTGAGCTTTGCATTGAAGACAACTGATCCTCGCTCGATATGTCTATAGCTCCGTGCGTGCCTCACAATTCCCGTGGTCATGCTTTCTGGCAAAATTCCAGCTATTTATAACCTATCACAAGTTTTTCTTTGATTGTGCAAAACATGGGACTTAATAACACTATACACTATACACTATACACTATAGGACACTATACATAAGTACATTTTGGTCTGCAAATTATTCATTCAAATATCGCATGGCAAGCGAAGTATGCGTAGGCCAGAAGGAGGGTTTCTTCTTCACTCATACAGTGCTGGACATGGTTATAGAGCCACTCTAGAAATCGTCGTAATTTTCTTTCTTGTCAATGAATCTGTCTGAAACTTTGCTGTATTGTGCGCATGTCAACCTACCATAACCCCTCAAAACGGCGTCCAGTCTTGTTGAGTTTGAACGGAGAAAAACGAAAAAAATCGAAAAAGCCCTCTTTGAAAGCTGGACAAAATTATACAGCCACCTGGTTTTTCTAATCACTATCGCATTCGTTGACTCTCAAATTTTTTTGTACAATTACATCCCAAAATATGAAACATTTGCAACACTTACGGCCTGTCTTCCTACTCAAATAGAAGCAATCGCTGCATTTCTTGCTTTTAAAAGCATTAAAAGTCAATCTCCTTCAACAAACAACTGGTTTGAAGAGTTTTAAAGCTCTTGTTCATTTCAAATGATAACCATGGAATCTACTGACCCTGCTGGATAGATGAGTTGAAGAGCGCTTTCGTAAATTCTGCGTAATCGCTGATTTGACGGACAGACTCCAACCTCAACATGGGAAACGCTTTTAAACCACAAAACTCAGTTTGCAATGCCCACAAAGTGCTGAATTTGATTTATTACATTGCCTACATGGAAATGCAGCTTTCGCAACAACTTTCAGATTTTCTCTAATAAGCGGTAGCGATTTAGACCTGAAATACTTTCCACGGAATTTCCCTGCGAGCAGAAGATTCGATATAACCTGGATCTCTTTATTTCCCTCTGTGTTTCATGTCATATTTCACCCGATGAATGAGATTAGCTAAGATTTTGAAGTTTTTAAGCGTCTCCGGTTTTATTTCGTGATCTGAGTTGGCTCTGATGTGCAGGGCGCTCCACTCAACATTCAGTGGATGTCAACTGCGGCTGAACCAGAGTGCTCAATCCCGAAATTTTTTCCCAGTCATGCACACGAGTTCACTGTTGTATGGCTGTCGTAATGGCTACATTACAGTATTTTCTATCGCTTGAAAATCGAGTTCTGTGGTGCAAAAGTGCGTCAACCCAATGATGAGGTTGGAGTCTGTCCGCCAAAATCAGCGATTACGAAGAGTTTACAAAAGCGCTCTTCACCTCATCTATCCTGAAGGGCCAGTAAATTCCATGATTATCATTTGAAATGAACAAGAGCTTGAAAACTCTTCAAACCAGTTGTTTGTTGCAGCAGATTGACTTTTGATGCTTTTGAAAGCAAAAAATGCAGTGATATTTTCTATTTGAGTAGGATGACAGGTCGTAGGTGTTGCAAATGTTTCATATTTTGGGGTATTATTGTACAAAAAAATTTGAGAGTCAACGAATGCGATAGTGATTAGAAAAATCAGGTGGCTTTATAATTTTGTCCAGCTTTCAAAGAGGGCTTTATCGAATTTTTTCGTTTTTCTCCGTTCAAACTCAACAAGATTGGAAGCCGTTTTGGAGAGTCATGGTAGGCTGACATGCGCACAATACAGCAAATTTCAGACAGATTCATTGACAAGAACGAAAATTACGACGATTTCCAGAGTGGCTTTATAATTATGTCCAGCACTGTATCTGCTTTGGCGGTACTACGCTTCTACCATAAACTCGAACCAGCTTTGCTGCCAAGCTAATGTGATCATGCAGCGAAATACTCAGACAATCCACCAAAAATTCTACTGGACATTCAGGGAACGAACATCCCGCAGCCCTATGTGAAAAGTGCTGTAAAAGTTTCCACTTTTATTTCTGGCAAATCCTGCGGATGTTCCATTTTCGACGCTTAAACTTCTCCGATAGTAAACAAAGTCCTGTGGAATAGCTGCAAATCTTTCTTGCCCTATAAAAGTTTCCGGGGGTTGTGTCTGAGTAAGATTAGCAGCCTAGCTGCCCCTAACAGGCAGAAGTTAGCTATCAGGCAGCAGAGCACAGAATAACAAGGATTGAGATTCAAGATGAGCTCGAAATGGTTCTCATGAGAATGGGATTGTTTTCAAAGCCCTACCTGGCTTCATTCGTAGTACAACTTGCTGGGGCTCGATCTGTACCGTAGTCTTCCCGGCTAGAGGCGATCCAAGCGGCAAATTCTAGGTATGATTCAATAACAAACTTCCTATATCTCTTGATCTTCCCAAAGTTGGAGGTTAGCACTCTGATAAGTATGGCAACCTTCACAGATCCTTTTTTTGCGAATGTAATTTCAAGCCAGTGCTCACCTGGGGTCCAATGCGCACTTCGGTCGTGGGCGAGTAAACGTAGGTGGGATCGCAAGTCTCAGTTTTGAATGCGGATCGAGGTTGGCATCGATTTTGGAGGCTGGTGTGCTGGAAGCAATCTTGCAATGAGGGAATGGATGTTGGAAAATAAATTTACCGGGTCCCGGCACCATGCACAGTCTGGATGTTGTTTTATGCACTGTCCACACGTTGCTTGTGCGGTTGGTGACCCACATAAAGCGCTGAGATTCTGACAGGTCCCTAGAAATTAGTATAAATTCTGTCTAATACTTTTTCTGAGAGTATGGACACACTCACCAAGATGGTAAAGGAATGGCAATAGCAAGAAAATCCACCGCATTCGCTATCTGAAAAGCAAGTACTAGCAGATTTCTTTCGAGCGAGAAACTTCTTGAGTGCGTGCGAATGTAAGCTTTTGACCACTTAGTCAAGAGCTAATGTAGTTCAAAGCCTGAGTCACATTCAAGAGAAATTCGAAAGAAATGTATGCCTGTGATTCATCATGATGGTGAAGATCATTAATTAGCAGCAAGTAAGATTTATTACTGCTCCTTACGCAGTAGGCCAATGGGAGGTGACAGACGTATCGATAAGACATGAAATTCGGTGATGACCCAGAGAGTAGAGACAATGACCGATCACGTTGACAGCAAAAAAGCAGCTGATCCAAAACGAAGTGGCGGCGCGGGGCTCCGCATAGTAACAGTCAGGCCGCGAGCAGCTGCCAATTCTAAAGCTCTCTCATTCCGGGATTCTTGGAGAAAACGTGCCAACGTAGCGCCGCTATTACTAATGCCTGGACCAGAGTCGTATAGTATCAGGAACTCTGACGCAAGGCTAGTTAGTTGTTATAAAAGCTAAGCATTCAGGCGAAATTCACGCAGTTTCAGACAACTAACTGCCTGGCAGGCACCGTTGTCCGGGCAAAAGCCTGTGGACGCCGCCCCACCGCTAGCCGTATGACAGGCTACTATACACAAAATAGCCAGCAAGCAAGGGCTTATGTTCAGTCTATAAGTCGTAAATGAATCACTGACGAGTGATGGATAGTACTACGATTACTGCACTTGTTTACTCTCAATCCCGGCCACCGCATGGTAAGGCAGCGTGAGTGGCCATGTTTGTGACAACTGTCTTGATGCAGCAGCTTTGACGGGCTTGGTCATTTAACAAAATATGGGGCCAGTTCATGAGAAAATTGACCTACTCCATGGCAGAAAAGGCTTATATGATTGTGATTGATTGTCTAGGCACTTCTTGACTCCGTTTTCATTTCGTGGAAAATAGCGGAGGATACTGAAGTGTTATCATACACACCGAATCAATGCGTTATCCTAAGAAAAGTCGGCTCATAACTTGGAACTCCAAAATCATACGTCTCTTTGATACTCCCCGCAAATCTACAGATGGTCTTCGGCAAATGAACAACCTGGCTATTGCTGCTTCACGCGAAGAGCATAGTACGTCAACTTTTTAACAGCCGCTGCGTTTTTCCGCGTAAAGCGGAATTGCTTCAATACACGACATATTTTTTAGACAATGTCATAAGATAGTTCTTAACAAACAAAGATGAAAACACTCCCTTGTTTCGAATAGCAACTCAAGTTATGGAAGTTTTCTTAGCAGGAACCATTCTGAAGGCCTTCTTCGAGAAATCTTTCAATAATCTTCTTTCTTCGATTCATGTTCTCAGCAAAGTTTCAAAAAAATAACTTATTACTGCAACTCATCTATTACAGACAAAAAAAGAAATCACATCCATATACTGCAAACATAACTTTTGCGGAGAGTCGGTTAAATGACATAAGGAATGGCAGAAACTAGCCATCATTTCTTGTGTGAGAATTGGGTTCGCTGAGATGAACGATCGGCGCTGCCATTCTGTGACATACATAAATCTAGTTGAGGAAGTGGTCGTAGGAGTCTTGCATTTCAACGGGTTTTTAGAACAGAGGTTTTTGAGAGTGTTGTAGAACTTACTAGCTTGAATCTGTCGTTTAGGAGGTAAGTATGCTTGTCCAAAATCAAGCTTACGCTATATATATTCAGAAGATCAGAAAGGGTTGACAAGCATTTGATCACGAATTCAAATTAATTTCGAAAACCGCTGAGAAGTACGTAATCAAGAGCATTTTCTAAATCTGATCCGGAAAAGAATAGAAGATTCAAAATAGATTTTGCAAGGTCAAGAAACAGTCAAAGATATAACGAACAAAGTCGCTTTGAGAGCTCCAGCACCTGGTAAATGGAAAATCGAATCTGCAAGCGATCAACTTCTAATGTGAAAACTTGGTCGACTAGCAAGATAGCAGAATCAAATTCGTCTGGAGTCTGCTCTGCGCGTTGTTTTTAATCACTGACAAAAACGTTGTCAAGTGGACAAGGGCGCGAAAAGATGACTTCCAGATAATGGCTTTATAGAGCTGATCAAGTGTTGACGGGTCTTGATAACAATGTCGCGGAGGTTGGATGTATCTAGCGGCGTTTCGGCTAAAAACGCCACAGCTTTTGTGTAAACCGCAGTTCGGAACGAGTGAATGCACCTAGAGACTGCGGACAACAACACATGGTCAAGCACTAACTGCTCGTCGACTTTGATTCTTATAACTGATGCACCGCTGCTGCTGCCCCCCCCCATCGTCCGACTGCTCAGCAAAGCATGGCCTGAGGCAACCGATCCTTGGATACGTTCCCTCCCACGACTGCACCCGCGTCAACCCTCCCTTCACCTTTCATCATCTGATCGTTAGCACAAACTGACACCCCTGTAGATCTAGCAAAGTCTTTCTAGTCAAGATTGCCCTTCCGAATAAAACCTATGCTATTCTGAAGAGCATCGAATGCTGATTCCAATACTCGAGATAGCTATCACTGGAGGGATCAAAACGAAACTATACTTAGGGTCTGCTTCAAGTCCAAAAAACGCTCCTAACTCAGCGTCTAGAGCCGTAGATATCGAGCAAGTACAGTGGGATCAGCGTTCAAACGCCTTCTCTTGTAAGATAGTCTGTCAAATGGATCGTAAAAACGAAACAACACAAGCAATGCGCCATCATAGCAAAGCACCTCACTTTTTTACATTACTTACAAGTAAAAACAAGTCTGTGTAATTTCATACCTCTGAAGGTACGTAATGGCTACGTCCTCACCATCTGTCAGTTTAGGGTGCGCAGCCATAGCTACTGTTTGATGAAATAATTCCAAGAGTCAAGCAGCGTAGGTTCAAGAGGATTTGCGGTGCTTTTGAGGGGATAGGATTTTCAGTTTAGTCTCTGAGGTAAGTGTTGCGCTAACGGCTCTATGCTAGGATATCAAAATCATTCCGTATGCCTTGTTCAACCTCGAGCAAGTTGGTCGCCGCGCAAAATGGGCAAGATGACTTTGGTTCCACGCGCCCCCTAATCTATAGTCTAGTGCAGGACGAAGGCGCGGAAGCAGTACTAGGGGCCCCCACACTAGGCAAACCTCCAAGCTTTGCCGCAGAAGACTGCTCCTGGAGCGAAAAATCCGCTCCGGAAGTAGCAAAGTAGGCGGGGCGACCAAGGCTGCCCGCCCACTTGCATGCTTTATCTCGCCTGCGCTTGTTGCAGAGGGTTCTCGAAACAGGGATTTTTGGGAGTTTCGCGGATTTTCGACTCCATATTCGGAATCAGAGCTTTCAGAAGGCCAGAAGGCGACAAAAACATTAAATTCGAGATTTTGGGTGGGCGGTGCCTTTAACACATTCACGACAGGGCCGATTTTTCGCTGACTGCCATTTCGGACCAGAGCATATTTCGCAAAATTGAGTTTGCGGAATATTTTTAGGTCACTGATGGACCCTGTGGTTTGAAATGTTAATCTTTTGGGAGGTACTCTAAGAGGTGTATGCAGGAGTTTACTCGGTTTGTCTAAAAAGTTTCACCGTGAACTAGCAAAATCAAAAACTTCAGAAAGCATACGACCCACCGGTGGGTCGTATTGTCCGAAACGGTAGAACACGTACGACCCACCGGTGGGTCGTATTGTCGTGAATGTGTTAAGCGGGCGCGAGCTCGGCGGCGCGTATCTTCACCGTTGCAAACTTCGCCTTATGCGCTCTGCGGCTAATAAACCCGCATTCGCGCTCAGAGATACTGCACCTTCGTCATGCAATCGCCTGTATGTACCCCACTTATGTAATTACATGCGATTGTATGTCCAGTGCGCTCATGGTATGAATGACTGGATCACTGCCAAATTGCGAGATGAATTGCGAGAGGTATGCTTAGGGCTAGGAAGAAGTAGGAAAAGCATGAAAGAGTTTCGTGCGCATGAAGGAACAAAAAGTTGTGTTTGAAGCAGTCAGACAGCTATGTACGACTTTACGTCCGAGGCGCGCAGTTTCTTCGGTTCTCGTAGCTTCGCAAAACTTCTGCATCGCCTCCAAGTGAGCAATCTGCGAGCGAAATCTTTGATTTTAGTGCGGACAACTTCGTTTCCATGAAATATGAGTGCTACCCTCATCGTGCTCTTCTCTTTCTTTGCGTCATTCTCTTTGCATTCACACTCATACTCTTACATGGATCCGGATGGGAAAATCTCGTTTTCGAAGCGGTCAATGAGGGGTGTGGTCTGGGATATGGAGGATGTATGAACTCCTTACTTCTGCTTCTCCAATGCGATCCTGATGATCTATGAGATGTATATCGTGGAAGATATAGTCACTGGCTTAGGAAATGCAGAGTTTCATTTCTGAAAGTTCTAGGCTACGTGACAAATGCGGCACAGAAATTTTTGCCGCGGGATGCGCGACAGAATTTTTTTTTCAAATAATGGGCGTGGCGCCTATGCCCAAATCTAAAATGGTTCAAAAAAAGGGGTGCGGCTACGACCACAACTATCTAAAATTGTTGGAATCATTTCGAATTCTTAGAAGATTGACTTTTGTCACTAAGCTATCTTCAGGAAAATTTTAAAAAAATGCTTGAGCCGCAAACTGCTGATTATAGTTTATAGACACAGTACCAAATTTCAATGAGATAGAGGACGGGCTGGCATCCCATGTTCCACCCCGTTCTGAAGCCTTCATCGTGCTTGACCTCTCAAGTAGTCTCATCTTGGGTTCGCTTCCTACCGTCCTCAACATATCTTGATCACCAGCAGATCAAAATGAGTTTCACCGCTCATCCTTCATGACTACAGAAAATGTACACAAACACAGATTTTCTGCTTTATATATATGGAAATTTTGCGAGCAATCGAAGCAATACATAGCAACTACAGAAACGGCGGCAAAGGAGGCGGAACTTTGAAGTGAATTGGCAATTACGATCGCATTTGTAAATCAGGATTACTGGAATGTTCCTACCACAAGCCGTTTTGCAGCGTTTTTACATATAAAATCGTGTAGCAACGGAAAAGAGGAGA